CGATCATGGCCCCCGGCCGCTGCGCGGCCCGGTGCCAGGTACTCCACGGCCCGGCACCGGTCCGCGGACCGGGGGTTGGGGATCACTGTTCTAGGCTACCCAACTGGGGGAGTTTGCTGCATCAACTGATGCAACAGAGCTACAGTCTCACAATCCAGATGTGCTGTTAGCAAGACGTCCTCGATGCTCTCTGAGCTTCATTGGGGTTTTTTTTTTGGCAGACCTTTCAGTATCCAAACCAGGCAACATTATCAGTGCCAGTAATGCTTGATCAGTGCTAGGAGCCCTCATTTCAATCCTGAGCTACAAATATTCTCCTTTACTAGGACTGTTAGCATCCTTGGGTTTAGTTAATTACAAAATGGAGTGTTAACAAGCTTTTATTTTAACCTGTTTGAACCTGTTTCTCTAATTATCTAGATATCACTTGGTATAAATCATTACCTACTTTTACCTCACTAGGACAAAAAATGAAGGTGCGAGGGTTTATTGTGAGCTTCCAATGTGTTGAGTTTTCCTCTATGAGGATGTGGAATTCTTGACATTTCAATGAAATATTTTCAAGATGTTTGTTCTGTTCTAAGTTTAAAATGTCTTCTAATTCTTTATTCATCACATTTAATAAAAAAATGAGCTTTTCTGTAGATATGTGGAACAGATTAATGCATCAAAAATTGATCTTCCCTTGCAATGAAAATAGACCTCTCTTTTTTTGCTGAGCATATGCATTGATTATTAATAAATTCTAATTTGACGATCATTAAAAGCTGAGAAAGTATGAAAGCAAAAATAGGAAACCCGTGTGTGATCTGTGATTATTTGAGGCTATTCTGAGGGTTCTATTAACAGTTTGTGAACTGATGGGTTAATGCAGAAACTATAAAATTCAGGCCTTTCTTCCAGAGACCCAGAATCAAAAAAACAAACTTGGAAGAGCGAAGGAGACTATATGGTTTTTAAAATCTTATAGTACTGAGCTAAACCTGTTTCAAAACTGACCCAGAAAGGTTTAATGCTGGCACATCATCAGCCAATGTATTATGGAAGAAGAAATAGTGGTGTGAATATTAATATTTTGAGTTCCCAGTCTGCTGTAGGCCAAATCAAAGGTGATGTCAGCCTCCAAAATCCAAGAAAGGCATGCAGAATATTTCTAAGCACTTTGCTTTTATTGTTCCTCACCTATCGGAAGAATCTTACCAAACTAAAGAAAGCTACTTGGTTCATCAAAGATTTACTCTGAGAACTTCTAGGGAGGAGTTCGCCTGATACTCTTCCTCCCAGCTATCTTTTTTTCCTTGGGATGTACTTCCAGCCTCTTGGGAATCTGGACTACATTCCACCACATCCTCTATGCTCTGTCCAACAGATGAAACATGCTCTCTATGCTTTTCCATTCTTGGCCCATTGTATAGCGATAGCCCTTAGACTTATACACCGCTTTACAGTGTTTAGCAACACTTCTTTTTCCTTCTTGTCCCNATCATTACTATTTCTTATACATTAATTAACATGCTCTGACGCTAAGGAGTTCTACTCCCACTCCCCACCTGAAAAGAGCTCTGTTCCAACTGCCAATTGCCTCACATTCCGTTACCTCAGTCCAAACTACCAGACGTTCCACTCCTTTACTCAGGAGCGGCCTTACAGTACTAAATGTCGGTACCTCACCAACATGTCTATGCCTTCCATCTATGGGACTGTTTCCGGACTCAAGGTGGCGGGAGCGATATCCCCTTTTGTGTTTCAATCACTGACCACTATTGAACCAACGGATTGAACCAGATTTCTCCTGCATTGCCCGATCGCATGGTTTCGTTGTGTCCAGCTAGTTGGATAATAAAGTCTGTAGAGATTCTCAGTCATCCAGGCCATGGCTGTCCCAAAGGTGCTTTTTTCCAAAAGGTAACTGGACTTTCTTTGTTCTTACTTGAAGACATTTTACTTTTCACACGAGAAGCTTCTTCAGTTCATGAGATGAGAACGGATGAGAAGTGAAAACGTCTTCAAGGAAAACCAAAGTCCAGTTGCCAAAATTGAAAAAGCACCTTCGGGATATCGGATCGTTCATACGAAATCATCATGATATGGGTGAAGGAATAATTGAATCGAAGGAACATGTTATTCTCCATTATCCCCTCCGGGCAGCTTTTCGCCAATAATTACTACTTCCATTTCTTGTCTAAATAACCTGGTTGTTCTGATTTGTTTAATCTCAGGAAGTTATTATCGGATCACGCTTGATCTTATTTCCTTGATCGACAGCCAAGTACTGTTGATTTTGTTGATTTTACTGTTGATCTGTACACTACGCTCTAGTGTTCTCTCTCAACCTTTTCAGATATTCTGCATTTTTCCTTTTCATCTTAATTAATTGTGGCGCTTGCTGGTTTAGGACCGAATAAAGATTGGATTTGAAGCTTTTCCAGTGCTGTCATGAACTCTGAGTGGTCATTAAAACAAATGGTAAAGGGGGGGGGGTGGTGGTTAACTCTAAATTGTCATTGGTTTGTACACAGTTAGTCCTCAACTTACAACCCTTCATTTAGGGACCGATCCAAGTGACAACAGCACTTATGACCGTTTCTCACACTTACGACCGTTGCAGCATCCCCCGTGTCAGGCGATCAAAATTCAGATGCTTGGCCACCGGTTCGTGTTTAATGACGGTCGCTGTGTCACGCGATCCCCTTTTGCGACCTTCTGACAAGGAAGCCAGGTTCACTTAACAACCGTGGGACTAACTTAGCGACGGCACTGATTCACTTCACAGCCGCGGCAAGAAAGGTGGTAAAACGGGGCAGATCTCCCTTCACAAATGTTTCGCTTAGCAATGTACGTTCTGGGCTCAACGGGTGGCCGTAGCTTGAGGACTAAAATGTCCTGCCAATCCTGTGGATACTTTTATTTGCTTATTTAATTTGCTGATATGATTTTAGCATTCCCACCCTCTGAGCCTCCCTTTCATGCAAACGTTAAGGCTGCAGTCATGGAACAACTGTGTCTGTGTGTGTGTATGTGTATGTAGCGTGTGTGTCCGTGCGCACGCACACACACACACACACACAACAAAGCTTCCTTCCACACCTTTTCCTGCAGGGCTTCCCGCATCTCTTGGATCCCGGTGCGCTTAATGAATTCCGGCAGCTCAAACGGCGGCTTCTCGATGCCTCTCTTCCCCTGGAGATATTTGCGCTTGAAACACCAGTGGCGGGGCACGGGGACCGAGTTGCGGGTGGCCTTCAAGTGGACAAGCAGCTTGGGGTCCTGCGCCGTCACATCGTGCATCTCCACCACATCGGGGCGGGCCACCAGCTGCAGGGAACCAGAAAGCCAAAAACAAATAAATAAATAAAGTTCTTCCTTTTTTTCTGTTCCTCCTCTTCCTCATCAGCCACCTCCAGACCTGGGGGTCTGTTGACTCTCCATCTGAGGGCTGACAGACAGCCCAGGCTCCAGCTCTGTCTCTCTCTCTCAAATAAAGAAACAATACAATAACATCAATACTAGGAGCCAGTATTCATTAAATGTTCTTCTCCTAATTTCCACCTATAACATAGTAAGTAAGTATAAGTATAGTAAGTATACTCTTTATTGTCATTGTACTTGACTACAACGAAATTGGTTTTAACCTCACTGGTGCAAAATTATAACAGAAACGAAAAAAGAAAGGAAAAGGAAAGAAAAACTAGTATGTGCATGGAGTGATTGTCATTCAGTGGTGGGATTCAAATAATTTAACAACCAGTTCTCTGCCTTAATGACCAGCTGGGTAGGCGGGCCTCGGTGGTCATGTGACCGTGTGGGTGTGGCCAACTCAACATCACTCACATCGAAGGGTGTTTCATCTTAGCTGTTAAAATGTAATAAGGGTTAACCGGAGAGGCAGTTTCTGTAAGCAGGGCAATGAAGATGAGGCTAGAAACAACACCAGAATGTT